AGCCCCAAGAAGGGGGCACATACAGGAAAATAACGCCAGGCGAGCCCTCTCCAGGGAGAGCTAAGGTAGGCCTGGATTTTCTTAGTGGGCTATGAGGATGCATGGACATAAGGGGTCAATGCTAAGTCTTGGCTTGACTAAAATGATGCAGCTGAGATCAGGCATCCCACTCGCTCACCACCCTTGTTTTGGGTGAACTTAATGTCACCCAGAAATCAAGCCCAGCTACACAGGAATAAGGAAGTCACCAAAATGGCCAAGAGTCAAGCCTCACCACGCTGACTTGTGTTAGACATACACTCTGGCAGGTTGTGAGAAGGGGACGCTTGCTGTCCCCCTAGACAGTGTTCGACATCAACTCAGAAAGATGCTGTAAGTTTCACACAGAAGACCCTTCTGGCCTAGTGTTTGGAAGGAAAGCTCTAGAAAGCCCCCTGCCATTGAGCCGTAAAAATCAGCCTCAACTTCACATCTCTATTGCCCACAGCCCCCTCCCAAGTGGCTGGGAAGGTGTATAAGCTGCACCCCTCCTTTGATGGAGCATTTCAGATGTTTAATGAGAGTGCAGTTCCCTCTGCCTGCCACGCCCCACCCCCACTCTCTCTACTTCCCCTTCTCAGAACTCAGGTCAGACATTTTCTTCCTTGAGAACCTTCCCTAATACCCCCAAGGCTGTCAGGTCCCCTGCTACACCTGGCACTCACCACAGCACCAGCCAACATTTGTGGCATTTTTTTATGGGGAACAATGCCTGTTCCCCAACAAGGCAGGACCAGGTCAGCTTGCTCCAAGGTATAATCTGCCACCTCCTAGCACACAGCCTGGTGCATTGGACTTCGAGGGAATATTCATTAAATGAATGAAGAGGAGTCTTCAGGTATCTTCTCAGCAGTCCTAACAATATTAAAACAGATGTTTGCCTTTCTTAGGAGCCATTTTGCTTAGGGTCTTCATATACATACATACATACATACATATATATATATATATATATATATATATATATATATGTGTGTGTGTGTGTGTGTGTGTGTGTGTAGTCACATTGTTTTATCATCATATATCCTAGACTGAGCCTCTAAGATTAGTGTTACCAAAAAGCTCAAGGCTTACACACTACATGTTGAAGCTAGTGTCTTTTTCTGGTGGATTTTGTATTAACTTTAACTTGTCAGTTTTGAAAATATTTCAGTGTTTTGCTAAATACCAATCCACATTGAAAGGTAATTAAGTCTATATAAAGGAGATGAAATAAAAACTGTTGAGCATTTCCGTGTGCCTGGATTTGCTCTTATCTCCTCTGGAGATAGGGTTATCTCTGTTTTCAAAGAACACTTTGAGTCCTAATCTGAAAAGTCTAACGTCTTCCCAACTGGAAACATGTTGGTGATATGTTAAGAACAACATGGCCCCCTGACTGCTCACGGTCATTGTAGAGATCTGTGGACGTCTTCCTCTCAGGTCTCTCCTCGCTGCCCAGCTCAGCCCTAAGGTGAGCCGGAAGGGGACATGATAATGCCGGTTGGAGCTCAAGGCCACTAGGTGGATACTTTGCCGTCTTGGACACCTCCCCCCTAAGCTGGATTCCTTCTCCCACCTTCAAAAGTCATGAACTTGTGCTCTGGGTCACACTATGTTCTGTCAAATAAATACCTTCTTGTTTTCCATCCCCATGAAAACATCCCTGGGTGAGCCTAACAGGAGTTCAGACCTGCGTCTGCCACCTGTGGTATGCTCTGTGCAGTGGCTTGGAGATGGAGACCAATAGAAATTAAAGGATGAAAAGTTTTCCCTTTCTCCTTACGTTCTTGAGAGCTGATCCCTTCACTGGGAAGTGTCACGTCCTGCGTGGCAAGGGCAAATGGGACGCGAGAGGGGCGACGCAGATTAAATAAGTGTTCATGAGACAAAAGTCAGATAGGAACGAGACCAAGCGACACAGCCTGTAAGACTGAGCCCTGAATTGGGGCTTCGTATGGCTTTTATTGAGAACATTTCAAAGAAAGTGAAACTGGATGACTCAAAGATCGTGTGCTACGTGCCTTAAGGCTGTTTTCCATTAACCAGCTCCCACTGTATTCCAACATGTACTATGCCTTCATACAGCCTGCACAACCCCCAGGACAGCGTTATGGTGTCTATCGTGTCGCGTCCTATACAATTAAGGGAGATGACCGATATCATTCCACCGGGTCTCAGCGTTCCGAGACACTCCCTCAAGATCTCATTAGATCAGGGATTTGGGGGGGGGGGGCGGTCGTGGAGATAGCTGTAGCTGTAAGGCAGCAGGGAAGGAAACAGGAATTGATTTAGGGGAAATGACTCTGGAACAGGCTCTGCTTCTAACCAGCGGCATCACTTTTAGCTAATTCTGATCCCAGTTTTCCACTCAATTAACATTTATTTAATACGCACCTCTGTGCGCCAGGCACCAATGCTGTGATGAACTTACAGTGTCATGTCTGAGCCAAGAAATAAGCGGCGTGCAAACACACCAGACAGATACAGGGGCTGTAAAGGGTATGGGAGTTGGGAGGGGGCGAGATAGGAATAATCAAGGAGGACCTCTCGACGGAGATGCCATTTAAGCTGAATTCTGAAGATTGAGAATTAGCCGGCTGGGCAAAGATGGCATGTCCAGCAAACGTGGGTGGTGACTTCTGGAAAGAGAACCATGAGCCCAGATGGAACCTGAAACGAGCATAGTATGCCCAAGGATGCTGGGGAGCTAGGGGCCAAATGGTGTGATAATGGAGGGTAGCCTCTGAAGTGTTTGTTGCTGGCTTCAGATCTAAGTCCCACCATCTTCTAGTTATGTGGCCCGGGACAAGTTATTAGCCTTTTTTCAGCCTCAGATCCCTCATCTATCAAAAGGCAATGATCAAAGGCCTGATCTAACAGCATTATGGGGAGCGTTAGATAAAATGATGCTGACAAAACAATAATAAATGGGAGTTTCTATTCTTACATTGTTACTGTTACTTCTTAAAGTAAAGGGAGTAGTAGGTGAGTAGGGGGTCCAGTTGGCTGATAGTGATCCTAGATCAGCATACCTTCTTTGTAAAGGGCCAGATAGTAAATGTTTTCCTCTACGGGCCATATTGTGTCTTGTCATAGTTACTCAACTTCGTGGTGGGAAAGCAGCCACAGACAATTCATAAATGAATGAGCATGGCTATGTTCCAATAAAACTTTATTTACAAAAACAAATGGTGGGCCATAGTTTAAAGGGCTTTAAAAATCCAAGGAGATGGGGTTAGATTTTAACTTTGAGGTCATAGGGATTTCTTGAAAATTATTGAGCGTCAAATATATTTGAGGAAATCTGTTTTGGAAGAGCCATGAAAACGCAAATGAAACAGAACGAGCTTTATCCTGCAGATTACTCCTGTTATGAACTGGATTTGAGTGATGCCAGGCCAACGACGAGCACCTTATAGGCGGTCATGAATTTAGAGGAGTTTTCTTGTTACAAATCTTGATGGACCTTCCACAGCTCATACACAGGGGCATTTAACAAAATCATGGATGCTGGATTAGAAACTCCCTGTGGGCAAGGACTTGGTTTCCTTCCCCACTGTCTACCTGTCTCTGGAATAATACCTGAAATAGAGTTGGTACTCAGGTATTTGAATGATTTGATGGGGCAGAAACCCTGGAGACTTGGTGTGCAAAACTGCTCATCTTAGGCTTACCGTATTTGCCGGCGTATAAGACGACTGGGCGTATAAGACGACCCCCTAACATTTCCACTCAAAATACAGAGTTTGTTATATACTCGCCGTATAAGNGCTGCAAGCTCTGCCTGCCAGGCCGCGTGGGAACGGTAACTTCGGCACCCCCCGCACTCCGCTTTTGCCCTTCCAGCCCATCGGCGGCGCGCCTCCTCGGTCCCCCCGCCCGGCCTTCCCCTCCCTCCCCTGCTGCTCCGATCGAAGTCTGGAACGGGGGAACAGGGTCCCTTGGAGCAGGGTGGCCCCACGGCCGGCGCTGAAACTTTGGGGGAGAGGTCGGTTTGATCGGCTTGACTTCCCTCCTAGCCAGCCGGCGTCACCCGGTACTAGGCGAGATTTGGAAAAGGAGAGGTAGATCGGTATAGAAGGGAAGGAGCAGTTCGTCAGTCTCGCAGGGCTAACGGCGAGGGCCCCCGCGTCCCTGCTTGCCAGGCGTGGGGCCTTGGCTCTCGGTGCCTATCTATTAAATGGGAATAACGGTGATTCCGGGCTGACGGTTACAGCAAGGACGGAAGGAGGTGATTATAGCAGGGGTTCTTTCAAGGCTTCGTACGCTACATGTGAGCTACTGTCATCATTTTGGGGGCACCGTTGTGCAGGACTCTTGAAGATACCTTGAGGAAGTGAAAAAAGACAGGACTCTCAGTCCGCCAGTGACCTTGTAAACTCTTACCCTTTGTATTACAGTTTGCTGTTTACAGGCAGTGTAATGACTGATAGATAGGTGTGCTTCACTGAGTCATTATTACCAGCTCTTCTCTCTTGAACTCCGGGACTGGCTGCCTACTTGCCCCAACTTTATTTATTTACTTACAGGCTGTTTCCTCCTTTCAGGGTCTATGCCTGATCTTCAGCCTAGGCAGCCACTGCCTAGGTACACTAGCCACTTCTGCCCCCTCTTAGCTGTGTGGCTTTGAGCAGGTTACTTACTTTCTCTGAAGAAATCCCAGTTTTTTTCTGCATTACAGGGTAAAGGCTTTGGTCTCCTAGCAATGCTGTGAGCATTAGGTGACAGTGGAGTAGTTGAGTGCCCAGCATAGCTCCTTCCTTCTCCAAGTGCTAGAGGTGAGAGGTGGAGGTCCTCAGAGCTGCTGCGTTTTGAGCCTTTTAGAAAGATTGTCTTCATTGGGCCAACATGTTGTATCACGTCACTTTTCCAAGGAAGCAGTTGCAATGAGTTCATTCCCCATATGGGGGCGGGGGAAGTTCAGATAATAGCTGAGAAATGATTTCCTCGCCAGATATTGCCAGCCACCTATTAAGAAATTATAGACATAATTAATAGAGA